TTTCCGGCCACGGAGAAGCCAAAAGCGCCGCCGTCCGACCCGTCTCCCGAGAATATCAATTGGGAAAGGAAGGAAAACGCTAAAGCCATTTCCGAATTCCGTTCCCGGACGACGACTCCGGCGGAATTCTTTTCCTTTTCCGTAATTGGGCGGCGGACGGAGAAAATTATCGTCCCGGCCCTCGGAAACAGCGCGCGGCCATTTTCCTCCCCTTTTCCGAAACTTATGGAAATCGAGCGCCGAAAAAATGTATTTTCCGGGTAATTTGTACAAAATATGCAAAATTTCGGAAAACGGAAAGACGAGCACCGGCGTCGACTCCGCGCCCTTCCAAACAATTACGCCTCTTAGCCCTTGCCGTAATTAAAAACCGTCCAACCGTTATTTTACCCCGGTGGACCGCGGCGCCCGTAATACCGGGCCAAATACGTCCGGATGACCTTCCCGCATCTGCCTTTGTAATTCGGCGTTTGTCCACCAATTCCTCCTAACGTTCGCCTCCTCCGTCCCTCCGACGTTTACTGAGGTTGGCTGGAAGGCCCTTTTCTCCCGGCTCGGCCGATTCGAATGCGGTAAACGTAGAACGGCAAATAAATTAAATGGAAAGAATAATTTTTGTCTTCCCTCGTCTCCCATCTCCGCAACCATCTCCACCTCCGTCGACCCAGGACCCAGTCTATTCCGGCCAAAGGACGGCTTCCGGGTCTTCCAGCCCGGGAGCGTTAGGCCCAGAGGGCGGACGAGTCCCGAGAAGCGGAAAAACCTTTCTCCCTTCCGGAAAGGAGAGGGCCTTTCTTTCGTTAAGTAATTCGTCGGGGAAACCCGAATAATCCTTCGGTTTGTATACAACCGGCTAAACGCGCCACCCTTCTACGTCGTTAGTCGCGGGGAAAAAGCCAGAAAATCGACGCGCCACCCTTCCCGTCTTCCGCTTTTAGAAAACCAACCGCCACCGCCTCCGACGCCCGAGTGGGTTTTCGGTCCCGGCAATTATACCCGGGGCCTACGTTTCCCAATCTTTTGTGGCCGCTTTTTATTCGCCGTGGCGGGGGAACCGGTGGAAAAGCACTTAACCGACGTTTCTTCGGCCATCTGTCTAAAAATTCCCTTTCGCTTTGCACCCTTCTATCTTCCTTTTTCCGCCTCTTTCGACCTGTCCGGATGACTGTTTCGTCCGGGAAAAGCTCACCTTACTCGAAACACCACCAAAACCCAAAACGACGCACTTTCGATAGAACGGAATGCCATCGCCGGGTCGAGCAGAAAACACGATGTATTTCCTCCGTCCGTTTCGCCAATAACACGGACTTTGGTCTGGTGAAAGGACCCCAATCGACTATTTCTTAACCGAGAGTAGAAATCGAAGTAATACGCCCGGTGACGGGTCGACTAAATAGGCCCCGTTAGTCAGGGGCGGATCTACATAAGACTAATAGGGCTCAATCCCTGGGCCCTCGAGTGTCGAGGGTCCACAAAAATTGAATGATTATCGTAAATTTTTAATACGTTTTAATTAACAATGAGCGCTTATCGTAAAAAATAGCTAATAGCTTAGGTTTGTTAAAAATGGGGCCCCATTTGATTTCGATAAGCCCTAGGCCCCGAAAAATCTAGACCCGCTCCCGGCGTTAGTGCCGGGGAAGGAAAGGATGTAGAAAACGACCGCGTAATTACGGTTTAGTTCAAATTAACCCGGTACAAAACGTATTTTCCGGCAATAAAAGTGGCCGTAACCACCGAGGATCGAACGGGCGTAAAAAAAGGCCGTACCAACCGGAGGTCGACCGGCTCGGGCCCGCGCCTCCGTGGGGAACCGCACCAAACCGGAGGCCAGCCGGGCGGACGACGTTTTGTCGTTGGGTTTTTGGTTATTCCGCCACTCGACGATACCGATCGATGGACTTATTACACACGATCGGGTGTCGAATCCCGTTGCCGGGTGCCGAAATACACGAAAAATACAAAGAGAAAATTGTTCACACCGCCTTCCGCCTTTGTTATTTATTATAACCGTTTATTGCAGTCTTTCTTCCCGTCTTTCTTACGCTCGGCTGCTAGACGGCGTTGTTTGCGCGGTAATGTGTTTTGTCCGGTGCCCGAATGAGGCGCGGCCGCGGCCTTCTTTTACGCGCAAATTGGAAAGGCGCCGGGGTGGAGTCGGGTCCGTCCTTCGGCCGCAAATCGGAATTTTCTCTTCTAATAATTAACGGGTTTACGGGTTTGTCAAAAATTAAGCGGCGCCCGGCAAGTTTCGGGCTAAATACCGACCCACTCCGACTAAATCTCTTTCTCTGGTTTCCGTTTTCCGTCCGACCGGATTCGAAGCCCAGCCCTAGAATCCGAGCGCTCGGCGTTAGGGAAAGTCACGCTTCTACCCGGACCTTCCGGGTCCGGGTAGAAGCGTGACTTTCCCTAACGGCGGCGATGACGGGGACCAAGCCGCCGCTTTCCGGCCCGAGACGGGAAATGATTACCGCGAAAAATATCCCGACGAAATTTTTATAGTCACACCCAGAAAAGGCAAATCTACTCGAAACGCATTTTCCACCAAAGTTAATTGGACCGGGCCGGGATGCTTCCGGAAGAAAAAGTCCTCTGGCGGTTCCGCTCACCCCACCACCTCTCGTTTTACTTTTCTATCGCGAATCCGGCCAAACCTTGTTTTTTCGGGCGCCGTTAAAAGAAGGAATGGTCGAAACAAATGCAAAAAAAAAAGACGAGAAGGCGCGGACGATACGGGATTTGCGCCGCAAGCGGGACCAGTGAAGGGTGGCCGATTGGTCCGTGGCGTAATGGTCGGGCGTAAACATCGGCGGCGGTTGACGATTCTATTATCGTTTCCGTGGCTTTTCCAGGAACGTCGTCCGGGTCCGACCCGGCGTTCCGAAATGTTTCTTTCGGGCCCGTTATTTAGGTTAATTATTGGGTCTACCACCCCGAGCCATTTCGTTTTTTTCCCCGGAAAAACCGAGCCAGAGAAAAGACCGCGCCCTTCCCACGCCGCTAGGGCATCTCCGGAATAAGGAGGGTTCTTTGTCTGCGACGACGAGAATCCCGACGGTACCGCCGGAGTGCGTCCATATAAGACCGAACTGGAAGAAACGGAAGAATGGATCGGTCGAAGGTATTGTAAAGTACGATGGACACGCACCTCCCGTTTCCGGCCGAAACGACTTTTTACATCCCCCAAAGACTCCGCGGGCTAAATACCGGATTCGGATGAAAAGACGATTTCGTTGCCGGGAATCGGCCGACGGGCGGGAACGATCGTCTTCCCGCCTAGACGGGACTCGTCGTCTATCCCGGTTGGGGAAAGTCGGCAGTCAAAACTTTATTTACGCCCCTACCGCGCGCGCGCGACCGGATTCCGCGCCCCGCCTGCCTCCTCTAATCGACACTTTCGGATCCGTCTCTCCTCCCGGAAGCCCGGCAGGATTTGCCGGCAATTTCGGCGGTTTCCGGCATGGCCATCCGATCTCCGTCGTCCTCGAAATCCCACGGGAGGACCACCGGAATAATTTCTCTTTCGAATTCGTCGCTGGGCGCTCACCTTCCGTCGCCTTGGCCGGTCAAAGAGCAAAGTACGGCGGCGGACTCCCCGGCAGGGAAACGGCGGATTAATCGAAAATAGAAGAAACCGCCGAGTGCCTGCAATAGAACGGAACGGAAGAAGGTTTCGGCTAATTATTTCTGGTTATAAAACCGGAAAAAGTCGAGAACGTAAGAGAACGGCGTCAGAATCGACCCGGGCAGAAGGCATTTGACGGGCCGAGCAGAATTATTTTTCATAAACGCGTTTTATCTACATTGACCGAGAGAAAGAAGCCACTCCTCGGTTCTAATTCCCAGCGGGTCGAATGGTGCCAACGGCATAGAAGAATTGTGATCGTCCGAAGGTGGAAGGACGAAACGACCTCAAAGTTAAACTTTTTGCTGGGAACAGGGTTGTCCTTTGCTCCGACCTTCCCGCCCGCCACACACTACCTACTGAACAGTACAGTACCTACGACCGCCGAATATTTCTTCTACCCGGACTCCACTCCACCGATTCTGAGAAATCGGTGCTCGGCTTCCGGTCCGAATCGCGGGGTTCTTCCGTTTCGGCCGGAAACGGAAAGATCAGTCTTCCGACGCTACTCCCGCCGGCCGAAAAGCTTTTTCGTTTTATCCAGCACGGATCCGGCGACGTTTTCTGCCGGAATCCTTCTTCGCTCTCCTCCCCCCGGCGCACCCCCGAGGGAACTACGCAGTTTAAACGAATGTCTCGGAGCCAGTCTATTCTCTCCCTCCCGGCCCTTCCTATCGGTGAAAAAGACCGAAAGTTGGACGGCGGTCGCCCCCCGCCGAGACTCACTAAGGACCCCGGCCGCGTCCATTAACGCCGTTCCTTCGGCCTCCATTAGCGGACTCTCCTCCCCCGGACCCGACGCCCCACGGAAAATCGCGGCCTCCGACCACAAAACCCCTTCACGATTCGTTTCTCTCCGAAAATAGGCTCTTTGGGTCGGCCGAAGACTCGCTCGGATGCCCACCTCGGCCCTTAATCGCCCGTTTCGTCGGTGAATTAGCCTCTCCTTTCGCTTGGAAGCGCGCCCGTCCCGGCAAAAGCAGCTTTTTCTCGGACGCCAGCCGCCACTTACCTCCCGTTCTTCCGGCTGCGGGGTCGAAGGTCGGACGGCGGAGGCGCTCCCCACCCGTCGACGGGGAACCCGTCGGGTCTTCTTCTCCCGCCGACGGTCTTTCGATAAATAGCCAACCGCCGAACGGAGGACGGTCCCGAGGCGGTGGGCGGGGCCAGGCCTCGGCGCCATTGGTCGGAAGGCGGAGGTTCGTTCCGGGGCGGCCAACCGCCGACGGGCCGGGCCCGGAACCGGGCTATCCGGCGCTGTCGGCCAATGGTAGGGCGGGACGGGCGGCGGGCGGAACGGTGGACGCCGGCCGAGTGGCCGCCGAGACAGACGCCGGGTATTCGCCGTCGCGGCCGCTCGGACGAGAGGCAGCGGCCGACGCCATGTGCAGCAACGACGCCGACCGCGGACCGCAGTCGGTGGCCTTCGCCGGACTCAAGGGCGAGGCGGGGCCGGCCTTCGGCGCCCTGCACGCCGCTCTGGCGCCCGCCTCCCTGGCCGAGTCCTACAGACTGCAGCTCTACGATTACGCCCAGGCGGCCAACAGGCTGCGATTCGCCCAGCACGCCTTCGTCCCGTCGCCCTACGGACTGTCCGCCTACCACGAGGGACAGGCCCTGGTGCCCTACGGCCTGTCGCCCTTCGTCCGGCTGGATCCCCGGACCCAGATGATTCAGGAGGAACCCAAGCCGCAGCACAGCTACATCGGCCTGATCGCCATGGCCATCCTCAGTTCGTCCGACAAGAAGATGGTGCTGAGCGACATCTACCAGTACATCCTGGACCACTATCCGTATTTTCGCAACCGAGGACCCGGATGGAGGAACAGCATCCGCCACAACCTGTCGCTCAACGACTGCTTCGTCAAGGCGGGAAGGAGCGCCAACGGCAAGGGCCACTACTGGGCCATCCATCCGGCCAACGTGGAGGACTTCAAGAAGGGAGACTTCCGGCGACGCAAGGCCCAGAGGAAAGTGCGCAAACACATGGGACTGGCCGTGCCCGACGACGAAGACAGCCCCGGACCCACTCCGCCCCCCGACCCGCGGGGAGAGTGCCACCGGACCCCCTACTTTCCGGCCGATCCGCCGGCGGCCAAGAAGATCCGGCGCAAGAGACAGTTCGACGTGGAGAGTCTGCTGGCCCCCGATCCCGTCACCCGCCGAGGGACTCCTCCCGGCCCCGAGCGCCGTCCCCTGCCCTCGCCGGGGGCCGAGGGACCGGGAGCGGAGGAGGGAGGAAGAGGAGCGCCCGCCCCGCCGGGCCCCGAAGGGTCGGTCCGGCCGGGGGCGGAGACGGAAGCGGACTTGGCCGCCGGAAGCGAGCCCGGGTGGACCGGCTTCCCCCTCTGCACCTTGCCCTTGCCTCCGGCCTGCTGGACCGGCGGCGGCGGGGGTTCGGTCCTCCCCACCTACGCCGGGTCGGCGGGAGGGCCGCGGCTTCCGGCGGCCTGCGATCCCCGCGCCCTGGCCCGGCGCTGGCGTGACGCCGTAGGACGGTTGGTGGCCACTTCCGACGAGGCGGACGAGTTCGTCAGCACGTGACAGACTCCGAAGGCAGAGGGTAAGTAACCTCTCGGCGGACTTTTCCGGCCGTCGAACCTCGGGTCGGGACCGGAAGCGGGCGGCCGGCGGCGCGGACCGTCGGAGGAAACCCGTTCCCGCGGTCGGCGGACGGCGCGCCCTCCCGGTCGACCCTCGACGGCCGCTAGAACAGTCGATTATCGTCCCGTTGTATCTACTGTATTCACCTTAGACGAATAAATATCTGAGTCGAGACCATCGTGGTCCTGTCCACTTCTTTCCTCGCGCGCCCTTCCTTCCCGTCCGCCGCGGGGAAAGCATTTTCCTCCTCCGCCGGCGTCGAACCCCCGCTCTCCGGACCCGAATCCCTTCCGATTCGCCGGCGCTTCCCACGCTTCGTCTTTTCCGATTTCGGAAAAAAAGCGTTAAGGCGGGAGGCGAGAGCGGAGGGGCCCTCTTTTCGTCGGGCGGAAGCCCGTCCGATTCTCAGGAGATCCGTAGAGACGAGAACCGGGAATCGGGTCGCGGGCGGAACCCGGCCGCCCGAACGTTCGACTTTTCCGTAGTTTCCGACAGACGGCGAGTGGGTGGCTTTGGGCGGAGAGAAGAGAGAACGTTCGGAGTTCGTCCTTCTTCTCCATGTTCCGCGAAAGTCCGTCCTCGTCTCGACGCGTTTACTCCGAGCGTTGGCTTTCTTCGGGTGATAGAGCCCGAGATAAAGAGCCGAGGAAACGAAGAAGACGGCTGGGATGGCGGTAACTGGCCGACGTCTGCGGCCGAATCCGTCCTCTATTACATTTTCTTTCTTCTTCGTCCATTTGGCTTCGACGTTGTTTTCGTTCTTCTCCGTTTCAACGTAGAAAATAGTCGTTCCTCTATTTGTTTCCCCGTCGACGATTTCTTCGGGTCCCGCGCCCGACTCAGAAAGGGAAACCGGAAGAGTCGCGCTGGGTCCCCATTGGGAAAGAGTTAAGTTTCCGTCTATTTGTCTGTTTCTTTTCTTCTCTTTCGCCTCCCGTCTCCGGTTTCTCCGTTCAAGACCCGGTCACCGACGAACACCGTCGGAATGAGTCTTTCGCGTCTTCTTCGCGGCGGGGAAACGGGCGCACACTCGACAGGAGGGATGAGGAAAAATCCGTGGCATTTTTAACTCCGCCGTTCCGGATCGGATGTCGGGAGGTCGTCCCTTTTCGAAAACTTACCGCTTCTCTCCCCTACCTCTCCATCCGTTCGGTTACCCGCTGGTCGGAAAGCCGGGATCCCAAGGTAAATTCTTTTCCCCGAGAAACGACTCGACCGCCGGAAGTGGAATGGGCGTTAATTTGGCCGTGGGAATGGAATCGGGCCCGGACGTTACGTCCGCGGGTTGAGGCATCCCATTTTTTTCTCGGCCGGCTTTCGGTTTCGGCGGATCGCTCCAGTTTTGGTTTTTAAAAGCCGTTTCTATCGGATTCTAAGGAAGGAAAGACGTTTTCTCCCGCCAAGGTTCTGTTAGTCAACGTATCCCCGTAGGATTTTCTCCTCTTTCTAAAAGGAAGGATTTGCGCCGGGACCGAATCGGTTAGGACTCGGATTTTGCCCGGGCGGAGAGACCCCTCTTCCGAACGCTACATTAAAAGATGTTTCCCCCTTTGTCCGTCGGCGTATTAAGGGACCGAGGCGGATACCACCGACGTTCACCGACTACCGCCGCCGCCGTCGTCCGCCTACTCTACGTGGGTGGGAGCGCGGAACCACCGTACGTACTTGGAAACGTTGGGATTTAACCGGCGCCGCGACATTCGTTTACCGAATTCTCGGCCGAGCGACTCGCCGAGAGGAAACGAATGGCGGTCGACGGGACTCGAGGTTGTCGGTAATTGGTGGATGGGCTCGGGCCAATGGCGAAGACGCCTTACGTCGCCCGCCGATAGCCGCGCCCGTTATCGTTTGACGGGCGCAGTCTACGATACTCGTGGAAACCGTTGCCGTAGTCGTTCCCCGCGTTGCGCGTTAGAGCAGCTTAAGAAGACCAAAGCGTTTTTCGTACAATCGGACGTTTCGACTCCACGGCCGCGAATTTTCTCCGGAAAAGGGTTGTTTGAGACAGATGGGAATTTTATCGATGGCTTAACCTTTGAGATGAAAAGCGGGCAACGAAAAGTAGCGCAACTTTCTCCGTTGCCTGGCGCGAACCCGTTACTTGTCAAAATGACGGAACGAAATTGCATCTTTCGAATTCCTAGATTTTTCCACAATAACTAATGATCGATCCGCCCGGCGATACGATTACCGGGACCGTAGATCGGCCGGTCCCGCCGAAAAATCGTCGACGGCGGTGACAAAAAAGTAAAAAATCTCGACCCGGGAGGTGTGGTAAGGGGAACGCACTCTGGTCGTTACGGCGAGAATAAATGCGGCCGGGTTAGGAATTTCTTCGGTCCTGACACAAAAACAGACTTCTGTCGTCGTAAATAGATAGCTGTAATTGTCCGACTCGGTCGCGCCGTGTTAAGTCCTCTTTATATCTTTGTACTTCGTACTTTTTTCGACTCCAACGTTTTTAGACACAAAACATTAAAAGTAAAGACAAAAATGGATTAGGCTACGCCACGGTCATTTCGCGCATTTACACTTCCGAGTCGACTAGAATTAAATTGTAACTCGAAAGGGAATCGACGAATATTTAATTGTAATAATAGAGCGCTTCCGGTTATTTTAATTTTTTTCCGACTAAATGAAAAACGTGAAATTTGATCGACAATTATACTTAGAAATAATTCCGCGGAATTTGAATGTACGGAATATAGTCCGACCGGTTACCGTAAAACGTGACGATTTAAGCTTATATTTATTTTAAAGCCGGGTACTTTTAAACTGGCGGGAGGTTTCGGCCTCCAAAACGTGGACGGGTTGCGTCCCGGAAATAATTCGACACGCCCCCCGTATTTGTGAACGCGCGCGCCAATCGATGCGGCGGCATTCCTCGTTACCGTCGGAGGCGGTCGTTTCCGCGGTGGTTACCGCCGTGCCGTTTCCGACTTAGTACAGTACGTTACTTTGGAAATTATTCCGACAAATCGGCTCCGGAAAATTTTCTCGAATACGTAATATTTTCCATCGTTCCGTTCGTTAAACGATATTGGTCCCGGGATACGACCTGGCGGTACGTCTTTTTTTTATCTTATTATTCCGCCAAATACAGTTCTCGGTTGTTACTATATGTTATAGCCTATATATTAAGAAGATAAATGCCAACCGCCGCTTCGTATCCGTCGTCAGCCACCATTACTTGGTTTCTTAAAAGTACTGTACTGTACGGTACGGTACGTCGTAGTTAAGTCGATGAAAAGTTTTCGATAAATCCAAACAAACGGTTAACGTTATACTTGGTTTATCTAATTGCCGTTTAATATTGTTACGATAATATTAACCAGCCTGTAGTTGCCGTGTTTGTGACCAATCGGGTTTGTTTTCTTACCGATTTAGTCATAAAAGAAAGAACACTTTTCTCGAATATCTTTCTGATTCCAGATACTGCCCGTATTATTATCGGCCGATAGTTTTCCATTGGTGGTCGTTCACCTTTTTCGTTGGCCGAGATCCATGCAAATACAGACGAGTTTCTCTATTGGTTTATTAAAAGTAACTTATAATTAAGCCGAGTATAGTCTTTAGAATAGTTAGTTTTACATTTATGGCTACGGAGACGTCGGTACTTACGCCGTAAGTAGCGCTTATAATATCTCGGGGAGTTAACATATATCGTTCGAAATGAATGTTGTTATTCCCGTTGTAAGGTATATTGTCTCTATTTTATTTTTGCCCGATTTTATTGTTTCGTACGTCGTTGAGAATTTATCCGATATCGTTTCCGTTAGCTGTTGGATTAACGTAATAATATCATCGTTATTTATTGATTGCTTATTCCTCAACTTACTCTTCTTATTTATATTTTGAAGTTTATTATCGTAATATTCGTTTTGTAATCGCTCTCTCGTTTTAGGGTTACTACGTCACCGGCCACCCCTGGGGTCACTACTCAAAATTTATAAAGAACATTGATAACGATAGCGTTTTATAGATGTTGGCTGGAAATAAACCGTGGATGGTCTGGAACTCTAACTCGGGTACAGCCCACGCCGTAATTACCCCGTGGCGTGCGGAGCTTTTTCGGAATATACGCTCGGTCACCTCGCCTCCGAGTTTGGACTAGCAACGATCGAAATATTTATTGTTTATACGCGTATGGAGAGAACGGACGGCCGGCCGTTTTATTATATATAGGCCTATAATAAATTTTAGATAATTAGAACCGGCATTATATGTTTACGTTATAACCAAATTCGTGGTTACGTACTGTACGGTACAGTACGTACAGTACCACTCTACCCACGACCCGTCCGGTCGTCTAGTAGTGGAAGTTACAGAGAATGCCAGATCTATGTTTATTGTTACGCTTATTTCATGGAATTTCGGTTAAAGTTATAACTATATTTCTGAGGTATAGAAGAATATCATTAAAACGCGACGTTAGGTCCTCGACTTCTGCCGCGGTGTACTGTACAAATAATTCTTACCCGCTCCTCCTTAAAGGGTCGCCAGCGTAGATCATTAATTCCTAGCCACGATACGTATTATTTTAAATGTAGCCTACATATTTACGAGTGGTAAGATTACGAAGGTTTTTATGCCGATTACGTACGAGAATCGCGCAATGATCGGATAATAAATAGTCAATATGACTGTAGATTGAGCTCCCATCCGTTGTTAGCGCGTAGTCTAAAATAGGGAAGGGACTACGTTACTTATTGGTGTTTCAAAATGTGTAGAAAACTTTATATTATGGGACGACGTAAAATTTATTAAATGTTCGGTAGGCCTATAATAATCTTCGCCATTCTATAGATTAATATTACCATCTCCTAAAATATAAATACAATATTTTTGATTTTACATATACGTCCGACATATCAAATTATTTGTTTTAATGCGCTAAAATAATAGACTACTAATAGTTAAATACGATATTAAGTAAGAAAGTAAGAGTTTAATTTATACTCGGCGCCTACAGTACGGTATTGTTTAATAGCTATTTACTCGCAATAAATCTTACAATAATTATAATTGTAATTTTTTTTATTTTCGTAATAATCAATTTTATTTAAGATTATTATTTCTTAAAAATTTTTCGAGTTAAAACTTTGCCAACTGCCGTTTAATTCCCGCTTGTAAATTGAATGTGGTCTTTTGACGTGGACAGACGTCATAGGAGCTTATTGTAAAGTTTTCGTAAGGGGCCGTTCGTTAATTACGTGTGAGTTTTGCGCTACTTTTAACCGCTTCAGTCTATCGTGTAACCTACAACGATGTAGCCTATTTTCGCCAAACCTTCTTCCAGTTTTACTGTACTGTATTGTACTGTACAGCGCTATAATGTAACTAATGAACGGCTTCTAATTTGTGATATTAGACTTACATCGGTGTTGGATCGATTATCCGGCAATATTCGGTATTCGGGTATAATCGGCGGCAAAGCAAGTGTTCCGTACTCGGTCGAATACTAAAAACACGTATTCGATATTCGGACCGAATGCGATCTCCAGTAAACGGCGTTAAAAATTGAAAGCTTTTTCTACGAAAAAATACTTTGTGAAAAATTGTCGAAAACGCGATTAGCTAGAACCCGTCGGTGTTTCGCATTAGAATCTTCTTCAATTCTTCTATTTATGTACGGTTGGGAACTCGGAAAATTGTAAATTCTCGAAGCTTGGTATTTTATAGGCATAACTCTATCGCCAGTTTTGGGCACGTTTTTCCAAATTTAAAAAGGAGACTTATACACCGGCGTATACGACAAACGAAACTTTATTCGTAAGTTAGGTCAGACGACACCGCAGTACATAAAATGTATTTATTTATTAAATGCGTACACGAAAAGAAGCGTCACGAGACAATTGATATCCTCCCCGAAAATAATGCCCGCGACGAAAGATTAAAATACAAATAAGAAAGAATAAAAATCAACAGTCACGATAAAAAATATATATGTATTATAAAGGAACCGCTTACAAATATATTTAAAATGTAGAAAATCTTCGCGTAGAGATTGTTCTATATTCTGAACGGACCGATAGAAAAAGAATCCGAAAGAAATGTTACGAGTAACTCGTGGCACTACCAATAGGAACGAACGAAACCACGCCAGTCTTTGTATAAAAGTAAAAGGTCAAAGTTACATCTTGGATAAAACCAGGAATTCCCAATCTGGACCTAGCAACGTTAGCATTAGGGCTGAAAGGGAGGTTAAGGAATTTATTTAGAGTAAGAAATATTTTATCTAATTAATAGTTTTTGTAAATGGGAAGAGGCGGCCAGACAATAATCGAGTAGAGACTGAATATTAGCAAAATACGTGGATCGTAAGACTGTTTTGGGGGAAATAGCTTGGCAAAAACGCCAAACAATTCCACGACGAATAGCTACGGATTTAATAATCTTATCGTCGTGTCCTTTCAAAGTACGTTCACCATCGAAAATGACCCCGAGGTCGATATAAGAATTACCATATTTTGTTGGATTATTGTAAATATAGAAAACGGTCAACTGAGGATTACGAATGAGTGAAAAACGCGCGATTACAGTTTTTGTAAATTAATTTTTAGGTTAATTTTTTCTAAAAGGAAAGAGTGGTGGTTAATCAATTTAATATCGTCAGCGTAGGACAATATAGGCGGTGTAATATCACCGAGTATATTGTTTAAATAAGCTAAGAAAAGGCTGCTTAAAGTATAACCTTGCCGAATTCCGCGTAAGGGGGAGAAACTCGATATCGCCGAGTTTTATTTTACAGGTACGGAGGGAGGTAGTAATTATTAAGTCTGGATTGATGCGCGGATTCAATTTCCAAGTGATTTCTGACTATTGAAAGAGGAGATTGGCAATTACGGAATGGAAGGTTTGGCTAATATCTACGTAATAATTTATGTAGCGTTACGATATATGTTAATTAATATATCTTGTATTATTTAAACTTACATATTTAACACCTAACGGCATACGATGAAATTGACGCATACAGTTTACGTAACTTTTTGCGAATATATAGGCCTATTTCTACGTATACCGAACTCCCGATAATCCGCGCTAATTATTGCACGGAAAACCGGTAAACACGGATAATTCAAAATATCCTTCCAAAGGATAAAATCTATTCGGAGGTAAACGAACTACAGTAATATACGTATAGCCTATAACTTAAAGCTCAACTCCGTGTAACGCAATGTAAGGATAAATCCCAAATTTCGTAAGCTGAAATGTGGGCCTATATTTATTCAATAAAACATAAAATGTAGATTTATTTAAAATATCGTTTAAAAATTTAAATTTTCTGTTTCTATGTATAATTCTTGCACTTTTTCCAAATTACCGTATTTTAATTTTAGGACTAGTAGGATTTTACTTTCCCGGCTGTTATAACAGAGGGAAATTATGGCGATCCGACAAAAAATGACCCCCGTAGATTTTTACATTTGGACTTAGGACACCTCGAAACGTCAAGAAATGAAAAGAAATTGAGCGTAATTTCTGTACGAATGGATGTTAGTGTGTGTATAACACGATTTTGAAGCTTAATCGCTCGCGCACTTTTTGTCGAAAATTTCTGAAATTTTGCAGGAAGGTTTGTTTATTAGGAATGAATGCTGAATTTTGGTAATTAAAGGTGGCGGGGGTGACGAGATAAAGGGGGGTGGTGTATATCTCCAGTAGGATCGAGTTTAATGATGATTTTACTCCTTATTAGCATTTACAATTTTATATAAAATCCGTCCCTACCCTCAAAATTAAGCTTTTTGCCATTTTATATTAAAAACTATAAAAATTTTAAAAATAAAACATCGTAACAAAAGGCGTCACCAAATATTGCCGGAAAGTTAAACGAGTCGTTGCTGGATTTTTTCAAATCCGCTGTTTACAGCGTCAACTTTGCCTATTTAAAAATAATATTCCGGAGCTAACGACTCGTCTCATTTCCGTCCCTTAGAATTGACAGTCGAGGAAGAAAAGAAAAGCAATGTTACTTATGACACTTTGTCATTCTACGGTTATTCTAATATTTTGAAAATGCGTGGATAATTAAGAGTTCTATGTGTATTGGTATCATATTAGTACATTATAAGAATTTACACGCGCACAAGAGTACCGCGACAGTAATTAATTTTAATCATTTCTTTCGATTAAGCGTTACGTTGCGCACCGTGCACCCTCCGAATTAATCTTGTACGCGCCCATTCCAGAGCTCGTATTAACGTTCCGAGTACACTTACTGGCAAGGATTTAAAAAATAAAAAACGACTCTAACAATAAACTCTTTATAAATTGCCGTTCGCAGTTTCTAAATGCAAACTATTCACCGTTTGTTAATACATCTTGAAATAAACTTGGCTGTTTACGAATTATTCTTTCAATCACACCTTTTACAGTGCATTTAATTTAATTCTCTCTGTTACAGTTTCTTACCGTAAGTGATTTTACTGAAACTGCATTATTTGATTGGGAAAATTTGTCTATAGGAAGCCGTTAGCAAAAGTCAAGTGAGCATTAGATTAAAAATATCCAATATTATTTAAAGAAGAATTAAAATTAGGAATGTTAAAAGAAATAATATCACAAACGTCGATAGAAAATGACGAGATAGTTACATTAGAATTAAAATAACGAGACTAGAATTTATAAGTAAACTTTTTAGTAGGATTTTAAAAAAATCCAGCAACTAGTTGCTTAACTTTTTCGGCAACATTTAAACATAGTGTGTATCGCCGTCTGTTACGATATTTTATTTTTAAAAGTTTTATATTTTTAATTAATATAACATGGTAAAAAGTTTAATTTTGAGAATAGTGATGAGTTTTATAAAAAAAAATTGTAAATGCTAATAACGAGTAAAGTCGTCATTAAGGCCGAACGTACTCGAGACACACGACTACCGCAGTCTCCCCACCTCTTCGATCTTCAATCGCCAAAATTTAATATCATCAATCCTCTAATACACAAACCTTCCCGCAGAATTTCCAACAAAAATAACGAGAGTTAGTAAGCTTCAAAGAGAGTGAAGAAAATCGTGCCCCCACACACTAACATCCATACATACACAGGAAAAAAACCCTAAATTCTTTTGCATTTCTCGACGTTCCATGGTCCCCTGAGTCTAAAAATGTAAAAATCTAAGGGGTTATTTTTTCACCCATCGCCATACTTTTCCTCTGTTACACATAACAACCGGGAAAGTAACAAACGCGTGTTGTAACGCTTATTCGTGTTTATCTTGCTGCCAAATTACATATTGGGCTATACCATTGAGTGCGGCCCATACCCATCTTCATTCTTCACTCCGTGCCAAATTACATACATCAGTTGGAAAAAAACGAAAATTTGCTATTTTCAATCGATCGTTTTCTTTCACTTTAATCCATTCGACGACTTTCGGGATGGAAAGCTCTTAGGTCTGTAATCGAAACAACCTCTCGACCTATTACGCTACTACTGTTAGATATTTGTATTATTTGGGTTGATGCAAAAGTTGGTCCCGTTTTTAGCACCAGCTGGCTAAAAGCGCAACACTGAAGTGTTATTTCTTTCACATGTGTAAAATTTCGACTTTGTTTGACAAAAGGGATCTTAGCTAGTATTTGAGAATAAAGTTGTCTTACTTAGTTGTGTTTTTAAAATTTTGTTAAGCATTACAAATGGCAGAAAGTAAGGAGCATTTTCGACATATTATGCTTTTTTATTTTCGAAAAGGCAAGAAAGCTTCGCAGACACATAAAAAAATATGTTCTGTGTATGATGAGGGAACCATTGATGATTCCACGTGCCGTAAGTGGTTTAGAAAGTTTCGTGAAAGCAATTTTAACCTTAGCGATGCACCACGTTCTGGACGACCAGCCGAGGCTGATGACGACAAAATATTGGCACTAATTGAAAGTGATCGACACAAAACAACTCGAGAGATTGGAGAAATTCTTGGAATCAATCAGTCAACAGTGTCAAGGCGATTACATCAGCTTGGAATGGTTAGCAAGGCTGATGTATGGCCGCATGAGTTAACAGAAAAAAATTTGATAGACCGAATTTCTGCTTGCGATTCTCTATTGAAGCGCAATGAAATCGATCCATTTTTAAAGCGAATCATTACAGGTGATGAAAAATGGATTGTGTACAATAATATTAAACGTAAAAGATCGTGGTGTAAGCACGGAGATGCTCCTTCAACCAGCGCAAAAGCCAGTTTACATCCAAAGAAGGTTATGCTATGCATTTGGTGGGACTGGAAGGGAATCATTTATTATGAGCTGTTACCTGAAAATCAGACCATTAATTCAGAGAAATACTGTTCACAACTAAGTGAATTAAAGCGAGCAATTGACCAGAAGCGACCTGAATTAGCCAACAGAAAGGGCATTGTGTTCCATCAAGACAACGCTAGACCACACGTGTCTTTGGCCACCCGACAAAAACTTTTACAACTTGATTGGGATGTTTTGGTCCATCCACCATACTCTCCTGACCTTGCACCCTCTGACTACCATTTATTTAAATCACTTCAAAACAGCTTAGATGGTAAAAACTTTACTTCCTTGGAAGACTTGAAAAATCACTTGGATCAATTTTTTAGCCAGAAATCTCAGAAATTCTATGAGCACGGGATTATGCAGCTACCGGAAAGATGGAGAAAGGTTATCGAACAGAATGGCACATACTATATTGATTAAATGTAAGTTTTAGTAAATAAAATATTTCTTTGATTCTTTTAAAAAAACGGGACGAACTTTTGCATCAACCCATATATAACGTTCGGTAGCATAAGCGCGAGGTGGGCGTGTACCGGGACGGTACAGGACTGTATCGACGGTGCTTAACACGAAAGACTCGGAGGACGAACGCGGTAGCCTAGGCAACCAGGTTATACGCGTATGGGTTTACGACTCTGGCAAATGAAACTTATGATCAAATGTTGAGTGCTAGGTTTGCTGGCAATCGACCTTTAACTTTTCTTAGAAACGACCATACGGGAACGTTTTAACTAGTTGATTACCCGATTCCTACGCAGTTGTGTAGCTCTAGCGATTTACACAAAATGAATAAAACGCGCGAGTCTCCGCCACCCGAGGCGAATAATCACATTACGTATGCAGACGTCATAAGCGGGAGCGGATCTACGTAGGGACTAATAGGACTTAAGCCCTGTGCCTCCAGTGTAAAGGGCCCACAAATTGAATTATTAACATAAATTTTTAATACTTTTTCATTAACAATGAGCACTTATCGTATAGTAAAAAATTGTTAATATTAATAATATAATAATAACGATATATAAATGAATTTTAAACCCCAATTTAAAGATTCTTAATCTAACAAAAAACGGGCCCCATTCGACTACAATAAGCCCTAGGCCTCGAAAAACCTAGATCCGTCCTTGGTCATAAGACAAGATTTTTTAACCGTTTCTGTAAGATAACGATCGTCAAAGCAAAGAAAGAAATTCTTACTTTATGCAAGAAAAATTCCACGTTAAAGAATCGCTAACCACTTTGTATACAAATGCTTTTTACGAATTCAAATTCACTCGTAATTTATCTCGGTGAAACGACGAATGCGCGTAAACCCTATAAACTGTATAGCCTGAGGGCTACGTATGAAGAAGCAGCCCTGGTCCGAACCGGCGAGACCTATTAATAGGGAAAGTCCAATAAAATTTGTTTTGCGCTATTATTTACTGCAAGGGTGGCCAACTTTTGTGTACATAAGATCTACTTTTTATCTTAAAAATATGTCGCGATCGATTCATTGTCGTAGGCATAGTCTAAGTCGGGGATGGGCATCCCGCGGCCCGAGTCGCATAAGATGCGTATAAATATATCAATTTCCTAGCTTAAGAAGTATGCAGCAAAAATTCAAACCTTATTTTCTACAACTTGTGTATGTGAATAGCTTTTCACGCAATGAATTTAGTAAAAATTAAAACGAGAAACCGGCTAACAGACTGGCCTCGAAACTAATTTAAAACTAGCAGTGACTAACATTTAATCAAATATTTTCGATACGTCAGTTCTAGAAGCTAAATTAAGTATACCTATTCTAATTTATAATTATATATGAATAAATAATTGTGATTTACCAACATTTCCCTCCCCCTCTTGTCTTGTATGCGGCCCGCGTCAGTTCAAAAGTTTTGAAACGCGGCCCTTGCACAGAAAAAGGCTGCCCGTCCCTGGTCTAAGTGGCGAGGAGGAGGGACGTGTGAAATACATACTATGTTTAAATAGATAAGAAAAGCCACAAGTTAATTTAAAACACGAAGCAAAGGTACTTACATTTTAAACAGAAGAAAAATTGAAACTCAATGTTGTCACTTTCGGGGACCACCACTTCACCTTTCCTCTCTCTACCGTGTCTCGATCTATTCTCTCCGTCCCTTCTTTTTTTTTATGTATTTCTTTTTCCTATTCGAAATGATGGTAATATATTTTTCCGTCTCTAATGCCGAAAGTAGGTAAGCTATATTCGGTTTTAGAATGCAGTCGATTTTGCTTGGGATTAAAAGACAAACATTTACGTTTTGTTGGCGTAAAACTTCTGCGAGTCTTTGGTAATCCCGCATCAGACGATAAGTATAATTTCGGACAAGATTAAAACTTTTGTTTTTTAGGACGTAAGAGAAAAGTTTCAATTTCATTCGGCATTATTAAACATTACGTACTGTAATGCACAGTACATCATCCCGGGAAAAATTTAGAGCCCTTGACAAATAAATTTACCGTGTTTCATTTTCTTGCGTAAGTTATATACAGTTTATCGTCTACACGTGTTATTTTCTTCTTGTCTGCCTGATCCAAAAAATTAAAGATTCGCCGTCATATATTTTTTTAAGTCCGCCATCGATCCGTCGTATATTAATATTTCCTATTCCCTATCGCAAACCCAATTTATATTTTTTTGTTCCGGATCTCTTCCGTACTGTCTGTTTTTCACATATTTTAAAATCGATTTTCCGTACATTCTCTCTACTGGTCGAATGACGTATTCTCTTAATCTCGCTTTATTCATTTTCCCCGTAATCATAATTATTGGTATTGTTTGCCCGCTTTCTTCATTTTTCAATTTTCTTCCGACTATTACCTCTATTACCACTATTATCATTCGCGTTTCTATACTCTTCACTATTTTTTTCTTCGCTTTTTCTGAAATACACATTTCTCCTCCTTTTAAAAGCACGAGTCTGATTCATTTATTGTAGATTTTTATCTTTAATTCTGTTTGTCTTCTTTTATCGCATACAATTCCTGATACCGTTCGTCATTTCTCCCGTCCTAATTGAATTCTTTGCTTTCCTTGTATTTCGCTACTCTTATTGCATCGCTTATGTCTGGATACTTTTGTTTCCTCTAACCACAGCGGAGTGGTTCTTTTCTCCTTACGCTTATCATCGCTTTCGTTCCTTCGCATTGGCTTTTAGCCTTCCCTTTTCTACTTTTTCTTGCTAAAATTATTTTGCTGTAACTTTCTATAATCGTGTGTAATTCTGTTTACTACACCCGCTGTAAAATTTCATCCGAGAGTAATAATTGTTTATTATGTTTTCCCGCCTCCGAATCCTCTAATAGGTTTTTTCGCGTCCAACATTAATAGGTAAGGACCGTGCCAAATCTCGATAGGCCTAAACGCCGACTTTCGCTTTAAACTGCTTCGATACCTACTCCAAATTGGCGCTGCTTGTACTGTACTGTACAATACATTTTCTCTCGAATCCCCGCACTCGTTCCGATATCGAAATGTCTGGGTTTTCCATCACAGATTTTCTGCTGGGAAAAGAAAGCGTAATAAATGTTTTAATTAATTTCTAGCCTTTTCGTTTTTAAATATCTGGTAATGCGGTAACTGTTAACTTATTTTTCATAAAGCCGCATTGTATAATTACTTTTAGTATTTTTATTCGGCATCTTTTCTTTAAAACCGTCATAAATTATTCAATCAGTTTTATGTTCGGATGATTTTCGTAATGTACGATGTCTGCTCGTTTTCCATTCGCTTAATATTTTTGTGTGTACTAAATGGTATACGTCATCCGTCTCGTCTTATCCGCTTAATTCATATGTCACTTATCACCGTGCTTTTACAGTTCCATTTTTACTTTCCCGTCTCTGTGACATATAACAGAGAAAGTATGGCCATCGGACAAAAAAATTTACATTTTTGGACTCCGGACCTCGAAACGTCGAAAAATGAAAAAAAATTAGGTTTATTTTCTGTATGTACGGATGTTCTTTCTGTTTGTGGGAAGTGCATTAGTTCGTTTACCTTCTTTGAAGCTCGATAACTGCTTTTTGTAGAAAATTTCTGAAAGTTTGACGGGAGATTTGTGTATTAGGGATATTGATGCTATTAAATCTTGGAGATTAAAGATCTAGGGGGTGGGGAGATTATGAGGGTCTTGTATCGTATCTCGAGTTGGATCGAACTTAATAAAGATTTTACTCGTTATTAGCATTTACAATGTTTTTTATAAAGCCCATCCTTACACTCAAAAGTAAGCGTTTTGTCATTTTTATAATTATTAAAAATATGGAAACTTTCTATAATAAAATCTCATACAGACAGCGCCAAACACAATTTTATTTATTCTGCTTAAAAGTATAAAAGTATGAATAAAACTCGTAACAGTTGGGAAAGTTACGCAACTCGTTGCTGGTTTTTTTTTTTTTTACTGTTTTGTCGACTATTTTTCGGCAGGACCTGCCGATCTATGGGACGTGAAATCGAAACGTTCGATTGTACGAAAAAAACTCTTTTGTCGTCTTAAAGAGTTCCGATAACAAACGTAGGACGTATTTGTGTCTTCGTCATACTTTACTCGCCGAGGCAATCGGCCATGGTATTCCGCATGAGCACACTACAGTATAAACCGGTAGTGCTGAAAGCATGGTCCCGGCCGAGTACGGTTGTCAGCGGGCGTTAATCCTTTCCGCGAACATAGCTGACGCGTGGTTTGTAAATGAAAGAAATAGGTCTTCGTTGTGACCCACCTACGTGTGACTTAAGCGCAGTTTGACACTTCGGTAGAAAAGTTGGGCACCACTGTTCTCGATTAATGCTGTTTTAGTCACGTTTCTGAGTTTTAATTTCAGTTTTAGTAGTTATATACGCGTAGCTTTAGTTTTAGTACTAAAATTACATTTGGGTGACTAACACTAAGTATTAGTTTTCGTTTTACTGAACCAAAACTACGCCACTGTAGATTTTGTCGTATTCTTTCCATTGTCTATTAATACTAGACAAATAGACGATTATCCGTCCTCGAATCCGAGAAGAGCCGATAAATCGAGTTGTAAATTTACGTACGCAATATAGACTTTAACGCGCGACCCAACAAAAAACAGGCGTGCAAAGGGAGAGTCGTTTGTCCAAATCTTTTTTCAGATTTCCCGGAACAGAAACAAAACACCGCGCAAAATAACAATAACTTATAATTCTACGAAAGATGAAAAATACACTGTTTATTTTTTTCAATTTTATAATTTCGTCTATAATATAAACTTTTTAAGGAGTTTAATTAACATATTATAATTAATTAAGTTTTGAATATCTAAACTTTATTTATTTCGACTTTATAGATGTGTAGAAGACCGGATTCTCTGGCTCATTACAGTTCTACCTAGGAAGCAATATATTCCTGTAAATCTGCGTTTATAATTGTTAAGTAGAATATACTTTC